GTCATGTTTTTTTTTTATCTTCTTTCATTTGACACCAAAATCATTTAAATCGGATGAGCCATTATGTCCGAATAAAAATCGAATCATTTCAGAAAAAACAAAATGGCGGCCAAAGTTTCACTTCTGTTCCGGATTTTTTTTTCTTCGTTTTTTTGTCATAACTTTGTCTACCTACCAGCATAAAATTTTTTGCCTTATACAAATTACACCGGAAGATATTCAACCGGAAGTGAACATCGATTTCCTGTTTAAACCGGAAGTGAAATTGAAAATTTGACTGTACCGTTTTGTTTACTTTCTTAAACTGTCTTTGCTCAATTTTTTTCAGATTAATCAGACAAAAAGCAAAAAAAATGAAAAAAATGCAAAATTTGGCAAAAAAAATGTCTGCGACAAATTTTCGAATTTTGAAATTTTGAAACGGCTATTCTTTCAGATTTAAACAGTAGATTCCAAAAATGCAAACCCAAAGAAAATCGACCCAAAAATACGACTTCTAGAGCCGATTATCTATTCTTGCACATATTGAACTGTGGCACTTCCGGTTTTGCAAAAAAGATCCAAAATATATTTATGCACATCGTCGCCTATATCTAAGGTTCGTGAATGTTGAATGGTTGCTGCAACTATTGTAGTTTAAGCTCAGGAAGGTGTGTAAAAATCGAAAAAAAAAAAAAAAAAAAAGAATTGACATTTCGATAACAAACTGGGACTTTGCCGTAGCAAAGTCCCACAATTAATGATTGTTTCCTGCTAATTTAATTACAGTTACATCCTGATAGATATTGTTATTATTTTATAATTGAATTGGATCATTGTGTTTGAATTAAATCAACGAATAAATGATTGAGTGTATTAAATCATATCAGGTTTTATGTTAACATGTATGATTGGATATTTTACGTTAATAAATATGTAAATAAATAAACTAATAGATAAGTAAAATGATAAATAAATGAATAAATAAATAAAATGATAAATAAGTAAAATGATAAATAAATAAATGAATAAATAAATAAATAAATGAATAAATAAATAAATAAATGAATAAATGAATAAAATGATAAATAAGTAAAATGATAAATAAATAAATGAATAAATAAATAAATAAATGAATAAATAAATAAATAAATGAATAAATAAATAAAATGATAAATAAGTAAATAGATAAATGAATTAGACAATAACTAAGAAAATAAATAGATAAATAATGAATAAATAAATAAATATATAAATGAATATAAATAGATATAAATAGATAAATATATAAACAAATAATAATAAAAAAGATAAAGATATAGGTAAATAAATGAATAAATAAATAAACTCTAACAATCTCTGTGTAATCAGACATCCAATGAACCTATACATGTCAGGTTATAGGAGATTATCGTGGTATTCAACATGAAAATAAATGAATAAATATGTATATTTTTTCTTTGAAGATTTATATACAATCAATACTTGAATATAATAAGAAATAAGAAATACAATTTTGATTAAATTTTAACGGCAATAAGTTTTCTTTCCTCAGAAGATATAATGAAAACATAAAAAGGAACTGAAAGTTTTGAATGATTTATCGGACAAAAATATCAAAAATGAAAATGTACATGTACAGTAGGAAAAACTGTTTTAGAAATATGTCATTCTAAAGATTGTTTTAAATTATTTTCTATTTCATTGGCAAATTAACTTGCAATAATAGAATAATAGAAAGGATTTATAAAATGACTAAAATAGATTGAAATTGATTTTACAAGAACAGATGTAAATGTCAACTTTTCAAAAAAATTTTACGTTATTAAAATTTATTTTAAAAGGGTAGAAATATAGATTGATAATATTTATTTTTAGCAACGACATCGGAATGACGATATCGTTAACAACAGATTGTCGTACGTGCTGCGTAACGGGGAGCTGATAGAAGAAAGATGGCATAAAGTCATGGTGGGAGATATTATTAAACTACAGAATAATGAATTCATAGCTGTAAGTTTCCATTAACCAATAGATTGATTATAGGAAGAGTTGCCCCTATTTCTTACCTTGTCTGATGATGGCTTGTGTGTCTGAAACACATTATTTTTGGTCAAGCAGATATGTATTTGTTTAGAGAAAAGACATCGTTATTTATGAATAAAGTTAGACATGAATTTATATAGATTAAAGGTAATGTTTTATACCTGTAAAGGTAGATCAGTGGGACAAAAAATCACAAAAAGACAGATTTTATATATCAAAAATTCTAAAGCCCTAAGATATTTTAAACTAGTACATCTATGAAGTATATTGATAAGAGCTACAGGTTAATAATATTTCTAATATTTCAGGCTGATTTACTACTATTATCTGCCAGTGAACCTAATAGTTTATGTTATATAGAAACAGCTGAATTAGATGGGTAAGATTCTGTATATAATGGTATATGAAACTCTGGACCCTATTGTCTTATTTTCTTGTCCATGGTGATTTGAAATGAGTATTATTATTTGTATTTTTATCTGTATAAAATGTATTTATATTGCTCATTGTTCCCCCACCCCCACTTTCTTCTCTGTAAAGTTTTTATAGGCTTATTACAAATAGTAGATATGTTTTCTTACATTTTTATACGCCCACATCTCTCTATGTGGATGTATATTGTTGGTACCCCTGTCCGTCCGTCAGATTTTTTGATGGAGTCAAATGAAATTTGGTATGTGTATACATATTCATAAAACGAAGATCAAGTTGGAATTTGAGCTATTTTCGACCGTTAGAAGCAGAGTTATTGCCCTTGCCCCAAAATCTTGAATATTTACCATCTGCAAGCCGTGGTGGCGTATATGGCTGTGGTCCACTATCTTAATGTGTTATAAGTTAGTAATTGAGTATTATTCTACAGGTTCAATGTTAGATTTTGATTTTGTAGAGAGACGAATTTAAAAGTAAAGCAGGCATTAGATGATACAGCTGTTCTAGAAGACAATCATAGTAAAATGGATCAGTTTTCTGGTGGGTATATATTTGAATAAAAATCTTGATGATAGAAAAGTGAGACAAATTATTATTTTGATAGACTGGCTCAATAAATGTAATAACTGTTTGTTGTTTTGTATCATGTTATAGAGATTGTAAAGAGGTTTTCTACACCTCTCTTGGATATTATAAACAGCTTTTGTGATGATGATTTTATTTGAAAAATGAAGACAGGAATACATCGATTGTTGCAAAATTTTGACTGATAAAATGAATCCAGTGAATACCTTCTGAATAATAGAGTTAACTGTTGATTTTATTCTACTATTTGTCTATTTCAGCTGAAATATTATGTGAACCACCAAATAATAGACTGAGTAAATTTGAAGGAAAGTTAACGATGAATAATAAAGAATATTCATTGGATAACGAGAAGATATTACTACGAGGGTGTATATTACGTAATACAGCCTGGTGTTACGGCTTGGTTATATTCGCAGGACGAGATACCAAGTTAATGATGAATTCTGGGAAGACAAAATTTAAACGCACCCATATTGATAGGCTGATGAATCTGCTTATTATAAGAGTAAGTATTATATTGAATTTACTAGTTTTATGCTGTTTACTTTCTCCTAAAAAATAGACTAAACAATCCAGTCCTAGAATAGCTAATACTCGCCCAAGTATGAAGAATTTTTTTGTGTAATAGGCTATCAAAGATTTAAACAGAGTATATTTTTCCCAAGTATCCTATATTGGTCACAATGTGTAACCACTGAAAGAGAAACATGGGGCCTTCACCTTTCTTATCATACTACTGTCATTCTCATTCTTGAGCTTTCTAGACTTAGCAAAATCTCATTCACACCCATAACTTATTCTTAAAACAAACTCCCTCTATTTTTTTCAGATTTTTCTATTTTTGGTCACAATGTGCCTGATAACTACGATAGCGTGTGGTGTATGGGAAACAGCCGTTGGTTTCGACTATCAGAAATACCTCCCATGGGAGTGGTTCGTTAACGAAAATAAAGAACAAGGGGCAGCAACTATCGGAGCTCTTGTATTCCTGTCCTATATTATTATTTTAAATACTGTTGTGCCTATATCACTCTATGTGAGGTAAGATTATTGATTTAGGGCATGCTATGGTGGGGTAGGTGTCGAGAAAGGGGGTATCGGGAGGAAAAAAATCAAGCACGTTCTCACGCAAGAACGTGACAACATTTTATACTATTTTATAATCAAGATTGTTTTATATTTATAAAGTTAACAGTCAGCAGTGATGTTCAGATTATCCTATAATAGAAATAACATATTTGTGAATTTGTGAAGGATTTTTGCTAACTTTGCTCATACACAAGTCCGTTTTATAAAGTATACCTCCTCCATACTGAACCCTGATGGACTTGTTGTATTATTATCCAGATAATAAAAATCATGAACTTTGAGTACTCTAATATAATTATATGATCCGTTCCAGTACATGTTCGATTATTTTTTTGTTAAATTGGCCAGTAAGAATTTTCCTCATTTGTACATACCTGTATGCAGCACTGACCCTGTTCTCATTGATATTGATGAATATTTTACTATATTTCAGTGTTGAAATAATCCGTCTTGTAAATAGTTTATGGATCAACTGGGATGTTAAGTTATATTACGAGAAGAAAGATACACCAGCTAAAGCTCGAACGACAACTTTAAATGAAGAATTAGGACAGATAGAATATATCTTCTCTGATAAAACAGGCACTTTAACACAGGTTTGTTTAAATATATCACTGTCTCTCTTTCTGATATCATGTATTTCCTGTATTTCTTTCATTTGTCTCTTAGATATTTGAATGTGCCTCAATTTTGAACTGTTGAAGTTTTTAGTATTACTCTAATTCCTCTATTGTTTCCTACAGAATATCATGACGTTCAACAAGTGTTCTGTGAATAGAAAATCTTACGGAGATCCGATGGATGAGTTCGGTAATCTATTGGAGATAACAGAGGTATGTAGACTATTTCTACCACAATCTTGAATATTTCCAATTCACTCTGGAGTTTTGTTTACTCTTAATATACATGGCCACTAAGCTTTCATTTGAACATAAACTCTGATATGTTCAAGATCCCTCGACAGTTAAAACTTGGATACAAAAAGCTAGTCTCTCTGTCCTGGCAAAATTTTCCTCATTGTCTGTCTTCATTAGCCTAAACTCAAGCAGATAATTAGGAATATGTGAAACTCGTAGACATATATGCCATAGAAGCTGATTTTTTTTAAAATTAGCCCAACCAACTTTTCCAAACTACCTATCAGAGACTTTCACATGATTACCTTTGGTACTGATTTGCGTAAAATCTTGTAATAAAATATTATTTGTTATTTACAGAGAACACCAAGAGTAGATTTTTCTGGTAATTCCTACGCTGAAGAATCGTTTGATTTTTACGATCCGTATTTATTAGAAGATGTTAAACAGGGAGTGCCGGAGGTGGAGGCGTTTTTCCGTAATTTAGCTTTATGTCATACTGTGATGCCAGAAACTAAAAAAGATGGTGAGCAACGTTTTCGCATGGTTGTTCTGATACCCTGAGTCTTGTATTTTGTGACCAAACTGGAAGCCTCAGGTTCAGTCCTTGTCTAGTTGATTCTTTATCAATTATGTTGAAAAGGGGTGGACAAGTGAAAACCCTATATTATAACACATATAGTGTACCTAAAAAATCCCTTGAAAAGTAAAACAAAAAAGAATTTTATGTGGATGTATCTTGAAATTTAGCTCTACACTATTCATTTTGACAAGCCAGTTCAAGAATTCTCAATGAAACATAATCAAAAATCTGATGTAAGCTTCTATGGTGAAAATATGATGCATCCCTTTTGCCCAATCTGAATAATACAAATGTTTTTTTTTCAGGGAGACTAGAATATCAAGCCCAGTCCCCTGATGAAGGTGCCTTAGTTTCAGCTGCAAGGAACTTCGGCTTTGTTTTTAAGGTAAATATTTCCTATTATAGACCTTGTCAACAAAACATTCAATATTCAGACAAGTGAGAAACCAGTGAAGATATAAATAGAAAGCGAAATCCCTAGTTTGATGTATACTGCAAGGGATTATGTGATTTTTTTGTACAGTTTTAGTACTTCTGTTTACATATATTAAAAACTCAAATCAACCCCTGAAAATGATGATTGTTTCCCTTTAACATTAATATTGATAATATTTTCCTCATTGCACACTGCATGAGGTTGTCTGTTAGTGTGTCAATTGCTTTAATAATGCAGAAATGATGTAAAACTCTATTACCTAGTGTAGAGCAGCTTGCTTTTATCACAGATACTGAATTAGATCAGGCCCCAGGGCCACAAAACATTTCTCAAGCTCAATTTAACTTTTTTTCAAATTCATAATGCCCCTGTCGAAAATTTGAAGGTTAATGTGATAATGCCAGAAAAGATTGATATGATTTGTCTTGGATAAAATCAGTTGTCACCTGGAATGGCTGCTTCAAATTTGAGTAAAATCTCAGCGAAGTATGAAAAAGGTTTGTGACCCCAAAGTCTGAATTTTCCCATTACAATTGTACAATCTCAACATTGGTGCTGATGTACTGATAATATTTCCCTCATAGAACACAGCATGAGGATGTCAGGCTTGTCATTTGCTTTAAATGATACATTAAGTGAAGATGTAAATATTAATTCTATTATTATATAATATTTATATATTGCAGTCGAGAACACCTGCAACTATAACTATAGAAGTCCATGGTCAAACTGAAATTTATGAGTTATTATGTATTTTAGATTTTAACAATGTCCGTAAACGCATGTCTGTAAGTATATTGATTTTTACTGATACACCAAGTCTTAACTGGCTTAACACAATTCTTCATGTGACAAACTAGATAAAGGACAAAAGTCATTAATGTAACACAAATAAAACCAAACAATGTGACCAATGTTTAACTGAGAAGCTTTTGATCATTAATGCCTCTAAGAACACTTCTTTAAACAAACGATTCGAACTTGTCTCAAGGTGTAGACATGAGAATATGTACTCGTCCAGCTTCAGTAGGGAAACAGGCTGAAATAGGTCAGTTGTCTGATGATCACATAGCATGAAACTCTGAGTAACAACATGATTCAAGTTCCGTTTTAATATTTCTATATTGCTCTACAATTGATGTATTGAGCACTATTTTAACAGTGGTATTTCTATATCGCTCTACAATTGATGTATTGAGCACTATTTAACAGTGGTATTTCTATATTGGTCTAAAATTGATGTATTGAGTACTATTTTAACAGTGGTATTCCTATATCACTCTACAATTGATGTACTGAGTACTATTTTAACAGTAGCATTTCTATATCACTCTACAATTGATGTATTGAGTACTATTTTAACAGTGGTATTCCTATATCACTCTACAATTGATTTATTGAGTACTATTTTAACAGTGGTATTTCTATATCACTCTACAATTGATGTACTGAGTACTATTTTAACAGTAGCATTTCTATATCACTCTACAATTGATGTATATTGAGCACTATTTTAACAGTGGTATTTCTATATCACTCTACAATTGATGTATAGAGCACTATTTTAACAGTGGTATTTCTATATCACTCTACAATTGATATATTGAACACTATTTTAACAGTGGTATTTCTATATCACTCTACAATTGATGTATTGAGTACTATATTAACAGTGGTATTTCTATATCACTCTACAATTGATGTATTGAACACTATTTTAACAGTGGTATTTCTATATCGCTCTACAATTGATGTATAGAGCACTATTTTAACAGTGGTATTTCTATATCACTCTACAATTGATGTATTTATCACTATTTTAACAGTGGTATTTCTATATCTCTCTACAATTGATGTATTGAGCACTATTTTAACAGTGGTATTTCTATATCACTCTACAATTGGTGTATTGAGCATTATTTTAACATTGAAAATATTTTATTATTGTAAATATAGAAGCAAATATGTCCAAGAGTACGTCTGAATTCCTGAATGATGTCCCAATCTTATATTAAATATATTGATATAATGATATTATGTTTGCAGGTGATATTAAGAAAAGATAATAAAATACTGTTATATTGTAAAGGAGCTGATTCAGTAATATTTGAGAGACTAGATAGTTCTTGTCAAGAATTAAAAGATTTAACTTTAAATCATCTCAATGTAAGTTTTTTTGTTTTTTTAAAAATTTGTTATCTTTTTTTATATCTCCATTGATAGGGGAGGGGTTAGGAGTCAACGCCAAACTGACAATCCTGATACACTGTTAAAGATGGGTTCCCCTATTTACATTTATGAAAATGAAAATGCTAATTCTTATATGAATAGAAAGTAGAGGTGTTCTAATGACTTGTAGAAATATGTCCATAATTAATTCATAATTAGCTAAATTAGAAGAGAATTACCAGCAGAATTCCAACGAGTGACTGATCAAGAGAGGTCAAAAAAATAAGGAAACCCATCTTTAATCATTTTTCATGTTGAATGTCTTGTTTGTTTTCTTCAGGATTTTGCTCAAACAGGATTACGAACACTCTGTTTAGCTTATAAAGAATTAGATGCTGATGTTTTTGAAGCGTGGAAAAAGAAACAACATGCTGCAAGGTTTGTGTTTTAATAATTCATTCAGATTGTAGTTATATTGTCACCTCTCTGTAGATTGTGTTAAACATCATGAGTGTTATATTATCTTAAAAAGAAAACTTTCTGTTGGCTATAACCAAACCTCTTGGCATTGAACTTTACTTTTTAATCATTAGCCATTTACAGCTGTGTCATTTAAGGTAATCAATATTTTGCACACCAACTAAGATGCGAGCAAACAACCATCCGTTTTTTTGTTGAAAAAATGAAAAACTAACTGAAGAATGATTTTCATCCATACTAAACTAAAACCTTTCTCTTCGTAACTAAGTAAATGACATCACAGTTTACTAAGCAACCTAGTTAACATGGCTACAGTATCTAACACTATAATAACAGTATTTATTATATAAAATAAATTGAGCATCTTTTCAATGTATTTTTCAGTACATCAATGGTAAATCGAGATGATAAATTAGATGAAGTTTATGAGGAAATAGAAAAGAATTTGATATTAATAGGAGCTACGGCTATAGAAGATAAATTACAAGATGGTGTTCCTGAAACCATCGCTAATCTAGCTCAAGCTGGTATAAAAATCTGGGTCCTGACTGGAGACAAACAAGGTAAGGATTGATATGGATTAAGGATACCCAAAAAAGCATTATTTGCCACTTGGACTCTCTGATAGATGTCAAGTTGACAAACCAAAAAAAGAAAAAACTATCAAAAATAGGGACAAGTAGACATTAACTATGTGGATATGTGGACACTCTGAAGCAATGTCGAGTTGACAAACCTTAATACCAAATAAACATTATTAACTATATGGACTCTGTGAAAGATAAGCTTTCTGGACAAAAACAGATAACAAATACACGTAAGCTTTGTGGGCTGAAATAGGAAACTGTGTCAACAAACCCAAAAACCTAAATTAACATTGTGCCATGTGAACTCTCTGAAAGGTCTGCCAAAACTCTCAGAAATGCATAGATAGTGTTGATAAACTCAATGGCAAAGTGGCATCAGGTGTTCCTATATATTTCCTGTATTTTTCAGAAACTGCCATCAATATCGGCTATTCTTGTAAACTTCTCACCGAGGAGATGGAAGAGCCGTTTATCATCAGTTCTGATTCTTCGGAGGAGGTCCAGAAGGAATTGCAGTCAGCTCTAGATGAAATTAAGGCGTTGAGAAGTGGTAAACATGAATCTGGTGTAGTGATAGCTAATGGACGTACCAATGGTCACGTACCCAATAATACTGAAGAGTGTGGTGAATTCGCTATGGTGGTAAACGGTCATAGTTTAGTAAGTTGAATTACGGTTATTATTTGCATGGTGACCCCCATTTCTAAAACTAGCCGTTTAGATTCAGATTGTATTTCTTAAATATGTGTCATAGCATGAGATGAGCTCTTGTCAATTAGGAAAGAAATTAGACAGGGAAATTAGCTATGGTTGTAAACGGACATAGTTATTTTACTTGTACTTTTTGAAGTTGTTTTTTTTTTATGGGACCCACAATTCCAAAATAGGGGTCTGTTTCACAAAATTTTTACTGAATCACAGACAAGATTTTAAGAAATTAAGAAATCTAATTGGCTTTAAAAGCTGAAATTAAAATAGATTTTAGCTATTGGCCAATCGGATTACTCGAACACTAAAATCACGTTTTCATGAACCAAGCCCCTGGCTGTTTTGTTTGAGATTTTGTGTTGGCAGGATTAGAAAGTCATTAACTGTTTTATTTGAAAAGATTAATATATTCAGTGTTCACAAAAATATTTAAGGATAAAATAAAAATGTCAAAGTTTTAAAATATTTGACTTGATATTTTGTATTGATGCAATATTGTCAAATTAAGTTGGTTTCTCCATAACGTAGCAGACAATTACTGAACGGAAATTTTGGCAGATCTTTTCTGTAGCATAGTCTTAGTCACATCTTGAATACAGCAACTCTTAGCAAACTGTTTCATTTTTTAATTTTCTTCCAGGCCTATGCATTGAAACCAGAATTAGAAGGATTATTCCTCGAGTTAGGGTTATCGTGTAAAGCTATAATATGTTGTCGAGTGACACCATTACAGAAGGCACTAGTGGTGGATTTGATTAAACAACATAAGAAATCTATAACGTTAGCTATTGGTGATGGAGCCAATGATGTTAGTATGATCAAGAGTAAGTAGGATGTATACCAAAGTTAAAATATTCCCATATCCCACACTTGTAATGAAAGTTATGTTCCTAGTGCCTCTATAGCAACCTTTCCAGTGGCATTTCTGCTCACCCCTCCCCTATATTTCCAAGAAACGTCACTGAACCGTCTAATCTATGAAATGAAATGAATTCCAAACCTAAACAGAAAAAACCTGTGTACACTTATGTATAAACCACTACGCGGATTTATACAGTGTACACAGGTTTTTTCTGTTTATACATCTATAAACTGAAAAAATGTTCAAGTCATTCCTTAAATAAATTTGTTTTTTGACCATTATTTTCTGTATATATGATATTTTGACGTTATATTGAATATTTTTTCAGTGGCCCATATTGGTGTTGGTATAAGTGGACAAGAAGGAATGCAGGCAGTGTTAGCCAGTGATTACGCTCTAGCTCAGTTCCGTTACCTCGAAAGACTTTTACTTGTTCATGGACGTTGGTCATATCTACGAATGTGTAAATTCTTGCGATATTTTTTCTATAAGAATTTTGCGTTTACTTTGTGTCATTTCTGGTTTGCCTTTTTCTGTGGATTTTCTGCACAGGTTAGTTCAAATTTTTTTCTGATTTTTAGTGGTGAAACAAGGTGATCTAGATATAATTCTACCAATCAGTATTAGCTTTGTAGACAAACCAGTTGAAATCCAATGACATCATGCATTCTGCAAGAGTGAACATGTTCTGCCTTGCTAGCGACACCCAATACAGTATTTATCATAGTTGAGTTCAAATTCAATAACGTTTTTGAAATTCGACTGAATATGGTTGAGAATTGGAAAATTGTTTTCCCAAGAATATTCAGGCTCAAATCAACACTTTTAAATAGTGGCATAAAGTCATGTCATGTTTCTCGATCGGCGTGTTATAGTCAGATGACCTTGAATAGGTCATCTTCACTCATAATTCCAGTCGACCCAGCTGTAAATGGGTACAGATAATCCAGGAAAGATCAATGCTAAGAGGTTTGGCAAAGAACCAACTGGAAGAAAGGATCTTTAACTGTGAACCTAAGTTGTTATCCTTGTAAAATATAGTTGTTTCTTTCTTTTTTGTATTTGGAACCCCTGACCCCTGACTGATTTTGTCCACTCAAAGACTTTGCTCATGTTTGTTTGTTTGATGGATAATGCAAGATGTTTCCATGGTTTCCATGCCTTTTGAAGACCTTACTACAATTAGGACAAATTTAAATTCTCGAACTATTTTATCTATTTCAGACATTGTATGATCCGTATTTTATTTCATTGTATAATGTGTTCTATACATCACTTCCTGTTTTGGTCTTAGCCATGTTGGATCAGGTAAAGATTTTTTACATCTACATTATCAAAATAAATTAGACTTGACTGCAATTTCACACGTTTTTATTTAAATGGGATTTATTTCATTCAGCTTCTAATAGAAGCTCTAGATAGGTATAGTGCTAATTAAATACGGAATAAAGATGTTAATATAGTTATTATTATTAAATATCCTTCAAATTGTCTGTTCTTTCATTTATCCTACTTAAGCCTTATATTCAATTCTTATACGCCCACATCTCTCTATGTGGACGTATATTATCGGCACCCCTGTCTGTCCGTCAACATTTGCTTGTAAACGCTCTAAAAGGTAGATTTTTTGATGGAATCAAATGAAATTCGGTATGTGTATGCATATTCATAAAACGAAGATCAAGATCGAATTTGAGCCATTTTCGACCATTAGAAGCAGAGTTATTGCCCTTGCCCCAAAATCTTGACTATGCTATTACTCTCTTAGTTTTCAACCGATTTTGATGAAACTTAAAATGGATGTTTCGTTTTTACCATCCGCATGCCGTGGTGGGCGTATATGGCTGTGGTCCACTATTTTTCCAATATTGTACTAATCTTATTCCTCAACTAAATTTTGTATCAATTTTACTGATTGACCAATTAGATAAATGGAACACTAAATTCTTCTTAAGTTTTCGAGAAGAGGGCCTCTGATCTATTCTATTGTTCCTATATCTTTGTTTTATTTTAAATTTCAGGATGTAAATGATGACTATTCAGTTCGTTATCCTAAACTCTACCTGCCTGGTTTACAAGACGCACTTTTTAATAAACAGAAATTTTTATGGAGTGTTGGAGAGGGGGTGTTAACTTCGTTAATTTTATTTTTTATCCCCTACGGAGCGTTCCTCTACTCTCACGGTAATTCTGGACAAGATTTAGTGGATCTACAATCGTTTGGTACGGTAGTGGCTGCCATTCTTGTGGTATCCACCAACATAAGAGTAAGTTTATTACCAATTTATTCAGCTTTTTATTTTAATTCTCTTGGGTGATTGTATCTGTTTTTTCAGTGTTCATTTACCTTAAATTCAAATTCAAGGCTGGATATGACTTCAGTCATCTGTTTGACACCCCTCATCTCTCAATTGAACTCTTCCACTCATGCTTATTTTCAATCAATATTATACCATATATTTCAGATAGGAATAGCTCATTAAAATTTTAAGGGGTGGAGTCTATTAATTCATCAAAGGCATACTATACTAATATTAATAAAATGTATGTTTGTTTTGAATCACCCTTGCATGTGCATAAACACATCTGACCTATTTAACCATATGTGTTTTCTATTTCAGTGTGCTCTGGATACATCATATTGGACAGGATTTAATCATTTTGTGATCTGGGGTAGTATTATCTACTTCTTCTGTTTTATTCTGGCCTTTTACTCCGACGGAATTGGATATTCGTACGTGGGAGTGGCGTTATCTGTGTTTTCATCACCGAACTTCTGGTTGTGTCTGCTACTAACGTGTACTGTGTTACTAGTCCCAACAGTGGCGTATCGATTTTATCAGACCAACATAACTCCAAATCTTGCAGACAAAGTGCGACTTCAACAACGTATGAAGAAAACGAAATCACGATCGCGAGATCTCAACATTCGCAGACAATCTACAATGCGTCGAAGTACAAGATCTATTCGATCAGGTTATGCATTTGCTCACCAAGAAGGTTTTGGTGAACTTATCACCAGTGGAATCAATATGAGAGACAGAGCTCAAGACCGTACCAAAAGTCCTGTGACATTGACCAAAATAACACGCCATAATAGCGGTAAACCACAGAAAAATAACGCTGTTCAACCAGACACAAACTCGAACAACATGATTGTCGAACATTTATAGTTGTCATGACAGTTACAGGTTGTCATAACATTTTTAGTTGTCATGACATTTTTATTCGGCAAAAAATAATAATTCTATTGAAGATAGAACATTTTTTCATGACATGAGACTTGATATGACACAACAGAACACCCCTGGTTTAGCTAATGAACTATTATCAACATTCAAGAATGTATCATAGTATGGAATAGTTCAATGAAGTGTTAAGGGGGATCGAATACATGATAAACACATCAGCCTTGATAACTATCATAACATTGAGTAATTTTTAAACAGAATGCTGCTATCTATAAATATATATTTCTAGCCTGTTTTCAGGGTTTTTAGTCATTGTCAAATTATTTTAAAAAGTTTTAGATTTAAGTAATTTGAATTAATTAACATATATAAATTAATATCAATAAATTTATTAATTTTCAGTCAAAGCATCATATCATCCTATATTTTCTTGTATTTTTTTCTGTTACCATATTATCAATATAGAATATAAATTCATCATGGTTTTTGTCAAATATATTTTTTATCTATCTATGCATGTTAAGAAACAGTTTACCCTGTGAATGAAGCTACCTACTTGTAAGTTAAAAAACATCCCTGCGTGTAGTTAGCAAAATGTTAAATGTTTTGTGCTAGTGTCTACTGAACGAGCAATTTTGTTGTAGCCTTTGGAATCATGGTGTAAGAGGCTGGATATAGTGTGTTTGTAATCTTTATAACACCCATCAAATTTCAAATGGACTCTTCCGCACATGCATACTTTAGATCAATATGATACTTGATATGAATGATTGGAAGAGTTCATTGTTTACTTAAGGGTTTTTTTTTGCTGTGTCAAACTATATCCAGCTTTTGTGGACTTGATGACCTGCAGCAAGACAAACTGTTCCTTATAACTGTTCGGAAAAAGCACAACAGAGTTTTGCTTACAACTCATTAAAATTGGGTCACAAGAGGGCTGCCATCTTCAATGTTAAAGAATGCTGTCAGACATACTAGTCTACAACTAGATGCTAGTTCATCAGGTTGTGCATGTGCACCCCTTGACAATTAGAAATGGAGTAGGCAAATGCAGCTGTCCTGAAAAAATTTCCCTCATTGCACACTGCAGGGTGTTGCTCATTTCCATTATCCTAATCTGGAAAAGAAAAGTAGGACATTTCATTGTGTTTCTTTCTACCATGTGGCTTCTGAATACCAGGGTTCTAACAAACACTGGTTGAGGCAGTAAAATCTATTACAGGTGTACATTATTATGGTGATTATTTTTATTAAAACTGGTATTTTATTATTATTATATATTGTATAGAGTATATTAATAGTGAGTCAGGGATGTTTTTACATGTGCAGGCATTGTTGACAAATATAAACCCAAACTATTCTTGGCTACAGAAACCCTCTCTGTGTTTAATCAGTTATTGTTCTAAAAACTAGATCTCAAATCCCTGTGTGTTACAAGTTGTGGCTGTTTTCATTAGCCCACATGGTGCAGAAAAGTAGGACGTAAAACTCCATTCATTTCATTTCATTTCAGTTACAAGTTGTGCATCTTAAGAATCCCCCAAATGTTGAAAATAAAAAAAGAGTGGAAAGGGATAATTTCCCATTGAATGACATAACCGTTTGCATAAACTTGATTGGAACCTGCGTTTTCTTTTCAAATAAAACCTACTAACGGAAGTAGACATTGAAACTGCATGGCAGACCATATACACTGACTCAAAATGAAACTAATTACTTGTATTTCTAATTCAAAACATACCCACATGTATAAACATCTCTGACTCCCTATGGTGATTTATGAAAGCATATTATTGTACATTTCAAATTGTTATTTCAATTTTAAATTTTGTTAAAGCATAATTTATTTATAACATTTTCCATATTTTTTATTTCTATTTAACAAACATAGCCTCTTTCTGAGCAGTATGTGTAATATTTTGGGGGTTCAGCTGAATATCGCAGCATGAGAAAGCATGACTCAACAAGATGGCTATCTGGTACCATGTGTTTATTCAAAGAATGACATGTGCAGAGGTTGCCAAGCAGGTGGTTAGTCGAACCATGTGATAAGTATACAAACCAATAAGAAAGAGTAACATCCGATAAATTAATAGATGTATGAAAATACTACAGAATGAATCTTTAGAGTAGGGGTCACAGAATTATCAAGGGGCCCACGGGCAGTTTTTTCCTATGAAATATTATATGAAATTCAAAGGCGGGGCGGGGGAGGGCCACGACAACTTCAATTGTGGAGGACTGTATGTTAATATGATTAAGAATATGGAAAATGCTATAAAGCCAGATTATCTGTAATATACTGTATATAATAACAATCAATATATTATAATTATTGAAATTATATTTCAAAGCTTTCACAGTCACATGACCACAATTTCTGAGTTTTTTATCAGAAGACAGCTTTACTTTTTTTATGCAAAAATTTTCTCTGTATTTTTGGACGATTTCCTTTCAATTTACTGTTTGCCTTTTTAGCACTTTCAGCAGTTTTCAAATATTTGAGCACATTGAACACAAATCATAGATTACCCCAAATGTAAAACTGTTTTAGCTTGTAACAGATAATTCCTACAATTGATTCATTCAGCACTTAGATCACCAATCTAGATAATCATGTATCTACTCTCTCTTTTACAATATTTACAGATTCATGTTTTGCCAATTATTTTTCTATAAATTGAAATACATTAACTAAAAATTCTACCAATTACTGATAGATTGTTTGGGTTGGTGAAAATGCCAACCAATTTAAAGATTATTTGGAAATGTGATTTACAGAAGAGAATTCAGTCAAAATATGAGTCAGTTTTCTAGGAAGTGTGTTTTTTTTTTTAAATGTAAAAGGAGACATTCTAAGACAAATGGTATCTGTTAAAAAATTTTATTTTGAATATTTATTAAATGATAGAGATGGTTCAGTTATAAGCTCACTGAAGTTGAGAGTAACTCTGAAGGAGATAAAGTATGCACATTAAACCTATATGAATACAGGGACCAATTATATCACTTTTAGATTTATTTGTAACACATATTTAAGTAATACTACCTTGCTGTCAGAATTAACATTAACTTCTCAATTAACTTAGTCAATATTATACTGTATATTTCTGTGTTTAATGCACCAAGTAATCCAGTTTACAAGTAGGCCTGAATAAGTGAATATGTGATATTACCACTCACTTATTAAGGTGTCTGTGTTATGACAACTTGTTGATTTTTTTCGTCAGGAAAAGATGTGTATTATTTACAGTGACATAGATAATAAGAGGTGCATATTATACATGCTTGTGCATTGTATTCAGAAATATACAGTATGTTTATCAGTGGACTTACCTGGTGTCATAACTATACAACAAAATCCAATAAATCTAAAAAACTACAGATAATTATTGAAGAACACTTAACAGTTTTATGGATGTATCAGATTTAAGGGGATTTTGTTGTATACTTTGACCTCATATCAAGAGGTGGAATTCCTGTATGTGTAATTTTACTGTATATGTATCACAGTTTTTTCTTTAACAAATATAACTTGAAATCTAATTTTTTTTTATTAAGACCAACGATAAATAAATAGTGCTGAAACCCAGAAATTCTGAGAAATTTTTAAAACGGTCACAATGTCCATTTGAGAGAATTTGGTTTATGGCATCATAATTGATCATCTAGATCAAAAGATTTTTTTTCTATAAGGTGATTCTTGCTTCTCATTCAAATTATTTTTTGGAAAACAGGTATGCTTTTTTGGCTTTCATTTCCAAATTTTCTTGACAAAATTTTATGAATTTAAAAATTGCAAGGTTAAAGCTAAGTTAAAAACTCCATATTTCATTTGCTCAGTTAGATTCAGATTGTAACCTTACATTGATTGTGTCTGCTCAGCAATAGAATGTGAAACTTTATTCATTATATTAGCTCAATAAGATACTACATTGAATCAAGAAAGGTGAAAACTTCATTTTATTTCGTTATTTCGTCATTTCTCTTCACAGTCCTAAAATGCTACAGTTAAAATATAAGAAGCCTTTTTAAGCAGCTTGCCATTTTCTTTTGGTTTTTGTCTAGATGTCTAGTTGTGATAAAACGAGGTATGATGTCTGGTGCAGTGTACAATTGATATTATTGATACAGTAGATAATAGAAAAAACAATTTGATAAAGTATGAGTCTATACCCGAATCGTTACTATCTTCTACTGGGTCGTTATGCCCTTCTTGGTGTCGGAGACTAGTCCAAAAACTTTTTGAAAATTGATATGGTTTGAGAATTTGTCTCTTAGAAACTGATAACATTGTAATTCAATAAAATTGATTTAAACATGAGGCTTACTCTTAGGGGTCGCGATCTGATGCCGGTTTCTGGAATTAGTTCGCTTCCTGAAAAAGGTTGGTAACCTAGGTTCTACTGTATCCATAATTCTGCCTGGAACTGCACCTCACCTACTCACTCCTTAATACATTGTAAATTTCAAGATATATTGTAATTGCCTTCTAAAAGTCTGATCCAGTGTATATATATTAAATATTATTTTCAACTATTTTTTATTATGATTAGTCTGATATATTATCTTATTGTGCAATACACAGATCAGTCTACCAACATTCACCTTTACAGTTAACTTTTACTGAACTTTAACACATTCAAAAGAGGTTTTCTTGTCTTTGTTTTTATTTCTATCCGACCTGTCTGACACCACTGATTCCTTACTTTCACATTTCTTTGGGTAGTTACCTAGGGAACAAGTGTTTATAGAAGCATTCATTTGTAAAACTACAAAAACTAGAAAAATCAGAATGGTGTAAATAGAAGCTATAAATTGTCCAGAATACACATATAAAAAATAGAAAATCTCTTTTGAATCCTTTCCGATTTGGTAAAAAGCTTTAGTCTTAGGAGACAATTGTCTTTTGTAACATTACTTTGATCTAGACCGAGAAAATATTTTGTATGTGTAATCACTCTAAGATATACATGTACATT